AGGATGAAAGGTAGAAACCCTTTTGCAACTAGCTTTTTTAAGTACTGTTGTTTGAACTCTGCCTTGGACTTGCTAGGCAGGAAGGAGTTTTACCACTTACACCATACTGTCAGCCTTTTTTGTTATTTTGTAAATAGTCTTGCGTTTCTCCTGGAGCAGCCTGGACTGCAGTTTATCCAAGTAGTTAGGATCGCATGGCTGTGCCACCATGCCTAGTGTGAATCACTTGAGATGGGGATCTCGAGAATAGTTTGCCCAGACTGGCCTTGAACCTGATTCCCCTGATCGCTGCCTCCTAAATAACTAGAATTCTAGATGTGGGGCCACCACGCACACCTGACTTTATCAGCTAATTCCTACCCTTTATTTTCATCCAACTGTGTAGAAGTGGTAAACATTCCATAACATTTAAAAATTAGATGTCTGGGGCTGGGAAGGTGGCTCAGTGGTAGAGTGCTTGCCTTGCATGCATGAGGCCCTGGTTTCGATTCCTCAGCACCACATAAGCAAAAAAGAAAAAAGCCGGAAGTGGCGCTGTGGCTCAAGTGGTAGAGCACTCGCCTTGAGCTGAAGAGCTGAGGGACAGCGCCCAGGCCCAGAGTTCAGGCCCCACGACCAGACTTAAAAAAAAAAAAAATTAGATGTCTTTTTCAGTCTGCTGGCTGCTTGCATCTAATTGTAATTATATATTATGCGTCACTCTCAAGACCTTACTGGCCATCTAGTTTTGTTGGATTTTTTTAGTCTTATTCTGTGGCCTAAATGTCCTTGAATTCACAATCCTCCGTCCTCCATTTCCCAAGTGCTGGAACTACACTCATGCCTCACCGCACTCAGCTAATTTTGTTTAGCTTTGTTTGGGGGTTTTTGTTGTTATTTGTTGGTCTTCTGGCAGGGCCTGTTCCTTCCAGGAAGTGCTGCTGTACCACTGACCAGCGTCTGCGCCGCAGGCCTTCTCACTTCAGCCGTATTCCCGTGGCATCCCTTCTCCCTTCTTTACCCTGTGTATTACAGTTGCCCGTGCTGCTTTGACAGCCGACTGCAGTATTATTCCAACCCAACTTTCCACAGGATGATAATGTAGAATGTGAGCCCTTGCACTTTTGAGTGATGGTAGCCATGTGCCCAAGAGACTGTGGCCAATGGGAACAAATGATAGAAGCAAACAGTTCAATGAAAGGAACCCAGAGAGCCACTGAGCAGTGTTTGTATTGACTTGCAATAGCTGTGCAGAATGAAGCACTACCACAAATTATAAACTATCTGTGTAAGAACATACAGACACCCTCCCCCCCCCCCCCTCTGCTGGCTGCTTGCATCTAATTGTAATTATATTGTAATTATATATTATGCGTCACTCTCAAGACCTTACTGGCCGTCTAGTTTTGTTGGATTTTTTTAGTCTTATTCTGTGGCCTAAATGTCCTTGAATTCATAATCCTCCGTCCTCCACTTCCCAAGTGCTGGAACTGCACTCATGCCTCACCGCACTCAGCTAATTCTGTTCAGCTTTGTTTGGCCCCCAGTGAAGGACTGCAGCAGCCACTGGTGGTGGCAGGGCCACTTCCCGCGATGCCATGTGCCCTTTTGAAACGTGCACAGGGGCACTAGCACTGGTAACGCGGGTCTCGCACACTCAAGTTTCAAAGTGGAATAGACGTACCAGGCACCTTGTTCATTCTAGTCGGAGGCTGCATCTGAAGGCATGGGCCCTCGAGAGTAAGACGCGCTCTTGGCAGCCTCACTGTCATCCCTTCCTCTGGGGCGGCGGATGCTTCCGCCTGCTGGCTCAGTAGATCCTCATTGTAAGATCAGGCAACTGAGGCTCTGAGAACTTGTGATTTGCTTAAGGTCCCACAGCTAGCTGGATGCTGGATGCATGGCGGTATATTTATTTACACGTCTGTCTCCCCTGCTAGATTCTGATAGTGGCAGAGTGACCCAAGCCTTGCACTCCTAGTCTGATGTGGTCAGTTGGTGATAGGAGAGACACAAGCCCAGGAAATTATATCACTCTCTGCTTTTGTGGTGTTAGAGGATTCAGAATAAGGATATCTGTTCCAGAAGATTTTTAAGAAGCTGCTGTGAGCTGGGATATAGCTGGGATGTGAAGGCTTGGGTTTGATTCCTAGCGGGCCATTTTCCCTACCCCATAACCCCAAAAGACTCTATGTTGGGCACTGAAGCTTTCAAACTTCAGTTTCTTATGTAAAGAAATGGGTTCCACATCCTTTAATACGTTTTCCTGGCTAACTGGCTCACTCCTGTAATCCTAGCTATCAGGCAGCCAACATTTCTGGGGGTCAAGGTTCAAAACCTGCTTAGGCATAAAAGTCCATGAGACTCTTAAATCCAGTTAACCACCAAAAAGCCATAAGTGGTGGTATGGCCCACGTGAGTCTCAACCTTGAGTGGGCAAGTCCACAGGAAAAATGTTCCCTTCAGTTATGGAGACTTGGTACAATGGTCCATTCTGGAATTAGCTTTGAGATTCTTCCTCTTTTTAAAATCCATTTTCTTAAGATTCAAGGGCATCTGTCAAAAGGATTATATCTTGTTAAGGACTGAGTACATAGCCAGAAGTTTATGGTGCCCTTCCCAGCTGGGAATTGCTGGCTCTCGCATAGGTGGTATAGGAAGTGAAGGGTCCAGAGCAGCACCAGCAATGGACACCACACGCAGGCCTCCTGCACTGGACACGTCACACGCAGGCCTCCTGCACTGGACACGTCACACGCGGGCCTCCTGCACTGGACACGTCACACGCAGGCCTCCTGCACTGGACACGCCACACGCAGGCCTCCTGCACTGGACACACGACACACAGGCCTCCTGCACTGGACACGTCACACGCAGACCTCCTGCACTGGACACACCACACGCAGACCTCCTGCACTGGACACGCCACACGCAGGCCTCCTGCACTGGACACGTCACATGCAGGCCTCCTGCACTGGACACGCCACACGCAGGCCTCCTGCACTGGACACACGACACACAGGCCTCCTGCACTGGACACGTCACACGCAGACCTCCTGCACTGGACACGTCACACGCAGGCCTCCTGCACTGGACACACCACACGCAGGCCTCCTGCACTGGACACGTCACACGCAGGCCTCCTGCACTGGACACGCCACACGCAGGCCTCCTGCACTGGACACACGACACACAGGCCTCCTGCACTGGACACGTCACACGCAGACCTCCTGCACTGGACACGTCACACGCAGGCCTCCTGCACTGGACACACGACACACAGGCCTCCCACACTGGACACGCCACATGCAGACTGCACTGGACACGCCACATGCAGACCTCCTGCACTGGACAAGTCACACGCAGACCTCCTGCACTGGACACGTCACACACAGGCCTCCTGCACTGGACACGTCACACGCAGGCCTCCTGCACTGGACACACGACACACAGGCCTCCCACATTGGACACGCCACATGCAGACTGCACTGGACACGCCACACGCAGGCCTCCTGCACTGGACACACCACACACAGGCCTCCCACACTGGACACGTCACATGCAGACCTCCTGCACTGGACACGCCACACACAGACCTCCTGCACTGGACACGTCACACACAGACCTCCTGCACTGGACACGTCACACACAGACCTCCTGCACTGGACACGTCACACGCAGGCCTCCTGCACTGGACACACGACACACAGGCCTCCCACACTGGACACGCCACATGCAGACTGCACTGGACACACCACACACAGGCCTCCTGCACTGGACACGCCACACACAGGCCTCCTGCACTGGACACACCACACGCAGGCCTCCTGCACTGGACACGCCACACATGGGCCTCCTGCACTGACACATCACACACAGGCCTCCTGCACTGGACACGCCACACACGGGCCTCCTGCACTGGACACACCACACACAGGCCTCCTGCACTGGACACGCCACACGCAGGCCTCCTGCACTGGACACGCCACACACAGGCCTCCTGCACTGGACACGTCGCACACAGGCCTCCTGCACTGGACACGCTACACACAGGCCTCCTGCACTGGACACGCTGCTGATGGCGGGAGGGAGGCCTGCCTGACTGTGTTTCTGCGTAATTTAGAGAAGTTTTTTCTTTATGCATTTTTAGTATCTATCCACCCATTACTGTACTGTGTCTGGCATTCTCCTGAGTGTGTGGCAAATTTCACATCCAGGCATCTACTTACCATGTACATATACTCTGCAAAACACCTGGAATGCAGCATTAAGCCCAGGCACGACCTTGGCCTTCGTAGAGCTTTTTAGTGGAAAGCAAGATGGTAAGCCAGTCAAAAAATCATGGTAAAATGCTTCCGAGTTAGGAAAAGGCACAGATAAGTGAGAGATATCACGGGCTAACTTCAGATTGGCAATCAGGGGATGCTGACCCGAGTGCGAGCAGCAGCCAGCAATATAAAAAGCACTGCAGGGAGAAGGGACCAGGAGAGACTAAACCTTGTGGAAGGAGAGCTTGATGTTATCTTCTAGCAGACCGAGACAAAGCTGAGTGAAGCGGGGGAAGCGAGAGGCAGCAGCCGGAGCAGGCAGGATGCCATGGGCCAGGGCAGATGTTCATCTCAGCCCTAGGTGCAGTGGGAAGCTGTGAAGGACTTCTTGCAGGGGAATGATTTGCTCTAATGTGTCCTCTTTTTTATTCCTAGAAGACAATTCTGGCAGCTCTGGAAAAAATGAACTCAAAAGAGCAAAGGGGCAGCTCAGAGATTGGTTAGACAATTAGTACTGGCAAAAGACCAAAGCAGGGACTGGGTTGGTAGAGAGGTAGTCAAGGTGTGTTTCAAAAGTAGTCAGCTGACAGTGCTGACACATTCGTGGCACACGGAATTTTCTGATGGGCTCTGATGTCGGAGTGCTTGGCAGCGTGGAGGAGCAGGAGGCTCTAAACTGAATGACCAGAACGCAAATGGAGCCTCCAGGTACAGAACACCTAATTGACGTGTTTCTCTCTATTTCCTATTTAGGTTTTATGACAGGCACACAAAGAAACCCTCAGATGTCACAGTATGGACCCCAACAGACAGGACCCTCCATGTCCCCTCACCCTTCTCCTGGGGGGCAGATGCATCCTGGAATGAGTAGCTTTCAGCAGAGTAACTCAAGTGGCACTTACGGTCCACAGATGAGCCAGTATGGACCCCAAGGTAAAGAAAAACATTTCCAAAATCAGTTATGGTGGGTGGTAGAAATTTTAATAATGCTGGTATTTTACATATTACTTTTGATATTTTAATATCACCATTGCATTTTAAGATTCGAGTGTTTGTTACTTACAGTTTGCAGTTTATCTTGTGGGATTCCAGTTTTGTTCGATTGGGACCTGCCCCCCCTGAGATAGATTCCTGCTCGTGGAGGCTAGCCCTGGGGGTGCTGTTGAGGTTCACAAGTTCCCACTTCTCTCATCATGACTGTCCAGCTCTCAGAACAAAGCCTGGAACGGATTTGTGTCTCAAACAAGAAGTGGGGGTGGGGGGTGGGGCGGCGTCAGACACAAATGGACTCAAGCCCTGTGCGCTGTTCACACTCTGCCTGTCTGGAAAGTGATGTGGGGTTGATCTAATGCACAGTCTTCAAACTCACGCACCCACACATACATAATACACATATACACATGAGTACCCACGTAACATATTTACACATATATTTATGTGCTTACACATTTGACATCACTTTTAGCAATAGGACATTAATTCCTTCTTCAGATTGTGCTGATTTAAATTAGACATTAATGCATAATTCAGAGAAACAGATCATCTGGCATGCATCCCAGAGTTTTCTCACTTCTGAGGATACGGGAACATTCTATGTGAAAATGAGTGCTCACCAGGAGAGTGTTGCTAGTGCTCCCACCCATGGACCTAGCAAGGCCTGCCCAGGAGAAACCTTGTGTCCAAGCTGGGCCAGTGGTGAGGCCTGTGTACCCTGCCTATCACCAAGGAGACACCTGTGATCCCCCAGCAAGTGTCCAGAGGCCCAGCACCTCCACGCCCTCTTCCTTGTCCTCTCTGAGGAAATCTATAATCTTTCTGTTGATAGTGCTTTAGAATTAAGAAAGCATATTTTCTTGTTATGAAGATGTTTCTCTAGAGGATTTTAAGCAGTGGAGCACTATTTCCTGGTCTTACTAGTATACGTACTTTCAGGTAAATTTCTGTTAGGAAAGCTGTTAGAATACCCAAAAAAAAGCTCTCTGTTAGTCCTATGGGCCTTTGTCAGTGTGGACAGAATCTCCCGTGTTCCATGTGGTTCCCTCAAACTGTGTCAAAAACAGTTTTCCATGTTGTTAATTCTTGTCCCAGCTGACAGTGCTATCTACCTTTCCCTGCCAGCCCCGAGTGTTGCCGCGTAGCAGTTTGTGACTGACAGAGGCCAGGCCCAAAGTCAGTCCCCTGTGAATCCTGCCTCTCATGCCTGCACCCTGCCCTGCACGTTCTGCAGAACTAGTTCCTTCAATGCTATGGAAGGAAGCAGCTGGTCAAAGACAGCAGAAAAACAGTGTATCGCGTGGTGTAGGCACAAGAAATAAGGACTTCTCTTTAGAAAGTAAATGGGGACAAGGTTGGCACCCTGTTCTCACAATCGAAGCTGCTGAAGGTTTAGGCCTTAATGTTTAAAGCCATTATCTTCTCAGTGGACCTCTGTGCTTCTAAGTAATTCCATCTTGGAGCCTTTCTTGTGCTCGTAATATACGAAGAGTGAGCCTCGGACTCTCTGGTGCATCTTCTCTAAGCCTTTCGCTTACACTGTAGTTGTTGAGAGCAGGAAAGATCTGTCTATGGAATGAATGTCCTTGTTAAATCAGCCATTCCGTTTTCTGGACTCAGTTGAATTTGAAGATTCTTCATATCAGAGCTCTGACCCTGGGAGAACTTGCCTGCAAACTGCCGTGTGTCCTTGGGACGCTGCTTACTCTCTGTGAATTACTGTCCCCTGGAAATGAGAAAATGGGTTATGTAGCCTGGGAAATTGCTTCCAATTCCAGTGTTCCATGAGCCTAAATTTTGTTTCAGTTCCAGGGCTTTTATATTACCACCGCCAAATCCTCCCATAATAGTGCGGTGGTGTGTGGGCGTGTGGGGCGTGAATGCCGGTGTGAGCTGCGAGCAGAGACTGTTTCGAACGAGGACAGCGCTTTCCACACACAGCACTTCCCTCACGGGCGCCTTCCTCTGTGTGCCCCTGTCCTTTCTCGTCTCTCACGTGGTTCCCCGCACCAGTGTTGGCTCTGAAGTGTGCTTCCCCCAGGGCCCGCATGGGTGATCGCTGTCCTGGGCTTAAGCCAGTCCTGGCTCTGCCTGGGCAAACAGCACTGGCACGGGCTTCACTTGGTGGACTGGTCATCAGGAATGCTCCTCCCTACACAAATCTTATTAATCCTTTTAAACAGAGACCCAAGATGAAGTTTGTTTTTGTCCTGCTTTGCGTCACTAAATATACAGATAGTAAAATGTTCGGTTTGCATCTTCTTCTTACAAGATTTAACATCTCTGGAAAGACAAGTCATTAGTTTCCCTAGTGTGTTCCTAACTCCATGGCTCTCCTGGGATTACTCATTCAAGAGACCTCAGGGAAATATGTCCTACAAACTCTTGCAAACTGTTTGATTGTCAGGAGCAACATCTCCAAAATCATTACAAGTTAAAAGAAGCAGCATTTGTTAAAAGGCATTTTGTTGTACATGCTGGCCCTATTCTGAGGGTTCACCTTCATTTGTGCTGAGGGCAGGTATGGGTACGATTGAGGGAGAGACCCAGGTTGAGCTGTTGATCACCTCCTGAAAGAGACACAGTGGCTGATTCAGCCCGTGCCCACCAGCCCCTTCTCTTACTGTCTGGGAAGCCTTTGAGGAAATTTCCAGCTGAGACCAAATCCTTGAGAAGTCAAGCCACTCACCCACAATTCCACAGCAAGACCAGCGTTCCACTGGGAGACAGTACCGCAGACGCCACCCAGGCTCACTGGCCGCACATTCCCAGAACTCCCTTGCTCTAAGAAAATACGAACAAACCTGCCTACTCACCTCCAAGGAGTAAGGAATGCCAGCATGGAAATACACCAAAAGGAGTTAGGAAAAAATGCCCTCCAATTAAAGTAAGGGAGAAACATGAGGAATGTACATTAACTGCAGCATCTGAATTATTAAATAAACAAATAAGATGAAACACCTAAATGTGTGAAAATATTTAATTACAAGGTATTTATGAAAGCACTTTCCTACCTTCAAGCAAGCACATGTAATGACTTTCCTAACAAAGCATTTGCCAGGGTTGTGGGTATTTGGCATTCCTAAATAGAAAGAAATTATGTAATTAACATTAATTATGCATAGTAAATTTGGGGAAAAAAACATAAAATCACTTCAACTTTCATAGCCTTTTTATTTTCAGGGGACAAAGATTTTGTTTTATTACTGTATATTCTAGAAAAGCATCTATCACACTGATTATCTACAAATACCTTTTTTGTCATAAATTTTTTTTAAAAAAGTTAAGCTACAACTAAGCACTTTAGGCAATTAGCAATAATTCCAAGTCTAGACTCCCAGCAATTATCACTTGCTTGTATAATGGCATCTGGGAGTCTGAACAGGACACTGGAATACAGCTGTGCAGGTAGGTTGTACCCTGGCGCGGTCCTAGGTTTCTTCCTTCATTTTTGTAGTGTATGTCTTGGGAAAATAGGACTTGCAAGTAGTTAAGTCTGGAGAGCTTTATATTTTTCAATTACTTTGGTAAAGATGTGTTTTAGGTTTTGATTTTTGCTCTGAATTAGATGCCATTTGAAATCTTCTTCCTTTTCCCTTCATTTCTTATAAATTCAGCAAAGGCAAACTTCAAATGATAGTCAGTTGAAGTGAATGCAATTCCAAAATAGTGACTGAGAGAGAGAGTAATAATCTTGCAACTCTGAGTTCCAGAGGAACAGGTATGAATGTCAAAACTTGTCAGCTACTTGAAAGTGTCTGTGGATGCCTGTGTCACCGTGACCCAGGATTTCCCGCTCCACTCTCTTAAGTCCAAATCTCAGGCCTACGACTGATTCGAGCTAAACGCCACCTGCACTCACCAGAGAAGCGCACTACCTAGCTGATGAGGACGCGGGAGACCCCCGAGGCTCCTTCTGGCTTTCTGTGCAGGCTGCTCCGCTTCATGTTGCTTATTTTCTTCTTAAAACAGGTGTAATGCACTTGATAGAATTACAGTTTGCTGATACATTACTGTTATTTTATGTCTGACAATGTGAAGCAAAAGGACTAATTCTATAGTTTGTTCTTTTATTAAAAGAATATTCTAAATCTGTCTCAATATTAGAAAAAGTCAAATAGATCATTTTATAGCCAAAAGTAAGTTAATACAAGCAGGGTTTTGGTTTTTTTTTTTGATGCTCAAATTTAACCTTCAAATTAGAAGGTTTAAGACTGTGCTTTTCTTAGACTGATTATCATCATTTTATCAAAAGCCTTGAATTAGGGGGAAATTTTAAATTATAGCACAGATCAACTTAAAATTTAAAAAATACAAAGCAACTTTAGTTCTGACTAATGTGGAGCTAATGATACTCGGCATTAAAGTCAGGACGCGGAGCAGTGCCTTCCATCCCCTGCCTGGCTGAGTGTGTTGGGGCAATGGGAGTATGCTACAGCCGGCCTCAGTCAGCTCCGCTTGGTCAGCCCTGGACATGGTCAGCTTATGGACATGCAGCCGTGCTTGATAATCCAGCAAGAGACCTTTCCCTGCGCTGTGTAGTCCATCGTATGTTCACAAGGAAATTGTCTCTTAAGTCAGATTGCACAGATCTCCAAGAAGAGTCCCAGGCAGCCTTTCAGGAATTAGCTCAGACAGCAGTCAGAAGTGGTAGATGAAGCCTGTCCCTGAGCGGAGCCCCGTGTGGATGCAGGAGTCCCTACTGTGTGCACTAGTGTGAGTCTCCAACTCTCGACTTAGTATTTGCCACAAAGGCTGTTTTTGTTTTGTTTCATTTTTTTGTTTTTTGTCGGTCATGGGACTTGAACTCTGGGCCTGGGCGCTGTCCCTCTGCTCTTCAGCTCAAGGCTAGTGCTCTACCACTTGAGCCACAGCATCACTTCTTGTTTTTCTATTGGTTTATTGGAGTCTCTCAGACTTTGCTTACCCAGGCTGGCTTT